CTCTCTTCTCCATGGAGCCCAGCCTTCTGGGAACACTGTAAGGTACTTTGGTAAAGAGGACCCAACATTCGTTTTGAAGTATGGGAGTGACATACACATGCTATCTCTAGCTTTTAAGTTCACTGAGTCAGGACTAGGTTTGACTTGTGCCCTGCTCAGCCTCCTGTGAAGACCTGGCATGGAGAACATCCTCCTTAAACACTTGCTGCCGGAATACATGAACTAAATGAATGACGTGGAGTGGAGAATGGAGAAGCCTACTGAATAGGTTGTTACGCGAATCCAGGCAAGCAGTCACACAGGGGACGGAGAGCAAGGGCCAGAATTTAGCCCAGCAGCTGCCAGAATTGCAGAGATTGTCGGGGAAGAAGCAACCAGCCCCTGTATGGCTGGTGTTGCAAACCCCACCTGGTTAAGCGCTGGCAAGTATAGTTCTAAGGCAGTGGTTCTCAACCTGTGGGTTGCCACCCCTTTGGGGGTCGAACGACCCTTTCACAGGGGTTGCCTAAGACCATCGGAAAACAAAAAGGTATTTACATTACGATTCAAAACAGTAGCAAAATTACAGTTATAGAGTAGCAACGAAAATAATTTTATGGTCGGGGGTCACCACAACATGAGGAGCTGGATTAAGGGGTCACGGCATTGGGAAGGTTGAGAACCGCTGCTCTAAGGTATTTATGAAGAGAGAGAAACGAGGCTATGGTTTCCCCAGCAGGCACAACAGTCCCCAAGCTCTTTTTGGAAAGCTGTTGTAAGCAGGAGCTGAAAAGATGAAGGCTTGAATAGGATATGAAAGTTGAAATGATGAAAAAGCATATGGCGCAGGGAAGGATTTCAGGCTTAGGCCTGCATTTGGTTACTTGTCTTTTTCTATCATACTCCCTCCCCCATCACACCTCTGCCCTTGGAACTTACAGTTTTTGTAAATATTCAATCAGGACAAACAATATGGTACCTAAGGCCATAGCTTTGCCAGAGCGGCAGTCTGTATTGAAATAACCCATGTTGGCTGGTTCTCCTTGACTTTTCTGGCCACACCTTTGGGCTTCCTCCCAGGAACTTGGACTCCAAGCCCGTGCTCTAACCGTTGTGTTGTGTTGCATCTGAGTTGAGTGGCTACGGAACCACCTGTGTGGTTATCATTGGTCAATAGTTTGATACAACTATTACCTGATCTCTGGAATAACACTGACAATGAGGCATGGAACGACCGCGGGTTGCATGTCAAAGAGTGACCTGAGGCTCACTGCCCACTGCCTCGCCGCGCCAACCCCACCTGGCCAGGGCCAGGACCATCCCCTAGACCAGAGTGCCATCACCTCCCTGATTCCTCATCAGCAGTGACCCATCAGGATGGTGCTAGGTGCTACGAAGGAAAAAGGGCCTGTGGATAGTAGTGGAGGTGTATCAATATGAGACGTAGCTGAGTTGACTGACTTGGGGCAGGAGCCTTCCAGGCAGCAGGAAGTACATAAGCGAGGCCGTCAAGATAGGAGAGCACTTGGCACATTCAAGGATGCAAGAGGCCAGTGTGGCTGGAACACACGAAAGGAGAGGAAGTGTGTTGCTGAATTCGGGCTGGCACAGACGACTCCTAGGATTCTGTTATGAGAACTAGAAGTTTGAGGCTAGCAGGGGAACAATAAATAGAAATTGTAAGACTGAAAGAATGAATTTCCTAAGGAAAAGTAGTAATATAGTTTTGTGTGGTCCATGTTAGTTGAGATAGTAAATTTACAAAGATTTAACCTCTCAGGTTGTGAGATTTTTTTTTTTTTATGGCAGGGTTCAGTATTTAGATACTGACCTATATGTTAATTTTGACATTGTTAATTGTGGCTTTCCACTTTATACTGCTCTATATAAACATTTCTACACATGTGTACTCCATAACTTGTTTTTTTAAATAGCTGTGTAGTGTTTCATCATGGTTTCCATCATGATGTTTTTGGCCCTTCTGCACATCGGTGTGATTTTTAGTTCTTTATACTTTTTATCCTTAGCAGTAATGCTGCTGGGAATATTTTTGTTTTCCGATGAGTTATTTCTTGGGTTACGTTCCCTTGTGGGTCATTTCTCTGTATGTCCTTTGGCCTCTCGGATGCTCACAGTCTTCTGTTGTGTCACGTTTCATTTTCCCCACCTGGAGGGGGGCGATCCCCTTGGTTTCGGGGAGTTGAATGGGGAGAGGCGGGGATCAGCAGGAAGAGGTTCACCCTCATCAGAAGTACAGAGAATGCAGGTTGTTGTGTTAATACAGTTTGTCCTCTAGGATGTTGTCTCTGCTGGGGGTTTGTTCTGCACTCAACCTCTGTGGCCCTTAGCCTGACAGGTAGGCCATTCTCCTCTCTTGCTTCGCAGTCCCCCCAAGGGCCTATTAAGTTCCTGGTGGGCATATAAGTATATGTAGAAGAAGAAAGTGTAAGGTGGCATCAATGAATCGGATTGTTAGCAGGAAGTGATTGTGAGAAGCAGCATAAAATCTCTATGACTATCATTAACTGCAAATTATAATTATATCATCTAAGGCAAATGGTTCCCTCAGTGTCGACATTTTTATTTATTTTTAAATAGTTCATTCTGAATGTCTAGATGCTGTTGAGAAATTAATCAGGGACCAACTGACCAGGGTAAGCAGTTATCAGGAAGATTCATCCACTCAATATCTTTTCCTTGCCTGGTCATATCTGATCCAGTGTTATTGCTTCAACGTTTATTTTAAACTTGGTCAAAAGTTAATGGAACAAAGCGGAAGCACTGAGCTCATTTGATTTGGGACAAGAGTAGAGTTTAAGTGTAATTCTCTGCAGGGTGGGGGGACTTCTATTCCCTGTGTCAAGCATGATATAATTTAATAATTTAGTCTAAAGTTCTTAAAAACTTGGGAGTAAGTTCTAAAGGTGTTTTCTATTTTGCAGGGATAGGAATATGGAACGCCTGTGGAGAGTTCAGAGTGTGCCGAGCACAGTGCTTTACGTTATATCCTGGTGTCACCACTGCGAGGTGCGTTTTCTCAAGATCACACAGCTAGTGAGAAATAGGCTCAAGATTCAAAGTGTGGTCCCCAGCGAGTGCTCCGTGTTTCTTCTCTACCCTGGGGACACGATGGTTGGAAGCAGGACAAGGCCACGCGCAGCGTCAGATGGCAGATCTGACGTGTGCAGATCTGAAGGGTGCAGATGGCAGATAGTGGGCAGATAGAGCCACCGGCCACGTTAGCCTCTAATCTGTTGGATGAAGTTAGGTGACTCACATAAACTCCTCAAGGTTTCACCTCCGGTAAAGCAGAAGGGACTCCTGTTTTTTTCCTACTGCCTTTGTGAGGGCATGCTGGATAATGGCTGTGAATGTTCTTTGACAGCCATCCATGAAGCCCTATAGAAACGGAGAGACTTACTCCTTTGCATTGTAATTGTTATGACGATATGGCAAGATTCTCATACTTAAAACAGGAGACGTGCAAGAGCTGCTCTGAGGTAAGTGTGCTCTGAGGGGTCACATTTGAATGTCGCATCCAGCGGGGTTGCGGTCCGCAATGAACGGTCTGACAGGCTGACATGCCCGGGAATCAGATAATTCACAGCCAGGAAGCAGCAGGAATCATGTATGTTGTGTATATGACTCGACCGATGTGGTGACAGATGTATTCATGGCATCACAGGTTCCCCAGACAGATCTCCTTCTAGGAAAGCTGACGGCTGTGAGAGGCTTCCTGCAGCGACTGCAGGCCAGGAATTGCTCAGAACACGTCCTGAGGGCTGTGTCTAGAACAAGACCGAGGGCTGGAGCAGGCCTTTTTCAGAGTGATCTTGCTGACGTCGTCCTGACCCCGCTCCACCAGCCTTGAGCAATGATCACATCTCAGGTCTTGGGTTTCTAGGTGCTGGAATGTTCCGTAGCTGATCCAGGCAGCAGGGCCTGGAGGCCAAGGTTGAAATTTCATCCACACTTTATATAAACCCAGTAGACGAGTGGGTCTCCAATACCGGGGAGGCCAACATCTCTTAGACATTTTGTTGAAAGACAGATTCCTGAGCTCCATTTCCAGGGAGCTCTATTCCCCTGGTTTAGCCTGGGACCCAGGGCTGTGCATTCAGACAAACCCTTTAAATCACTTTGATGCAAATAATGTTCAATTTCTGTTTTCGGGGGGGAAAAAATGTAGTAGCTCGGAATGAGAGCTACTGTGATAAAAATGGAAAAGCTAACGTTTCTTGAGCGTTTACTCTGAACCAGACACTCTTCTGTATGTAAATGAAGTCATTTAATTCTCACCACAATCTCTTGAGATATACAATATTTCCTCCATTTACAAATCGGGTAACAGAGGCACAGGTTGCTTAATAAGATACTGGTTCCTGTGATAGCGTACCCTGGCTTCATAGTAAAATGTAAAAATGTGAATATCCAGGAAGAACTTTCTAGAAAAAAGACAGATTATTCAAATCCCACCTAGAGGGAGAGCCATTACACCTATCACTCTAGCAACATAGCTTGATTCTAATATTAAAAATTCATGCCACCCTAGTTACTGAGGGTAAGAAAGGAGCGTAGGGGAAGTGGCCCGCCCTAGAATCGGTTTCACAGGGTGTGAACACTGAGAATGGGGACCATGAAGTTCCAGTAGTTGTTAGAGACTTTAGATGCTTCTGTCAGAGACAGATAAGTAAGCAAAAGCAACGAAATGATTATAAACAATAACACGTATATGATTTAAAAGATGGGGGCTGAGAGAAATAGCATTGGCAGGAAGGCGTCTTACTTGTTCATATGGTGGTCAGAGGAGTCCTGTTTTGAGAAGGTGACATATAACCTCAGAGTTGAAGGACGAGAAGGAGCCAGTCCTGCAGAGAGACGTGGGGCGAGCATTCCCGCAGAATCTCCGGGTGACACTTGGGAATCTGTGTTGTCACTCTGTTTTCTGGGTGTTTCTGATGCAGGAGCCCCTGATCTTGGTGATGTCCTTTTTCAAATGACAAATCTAAAACAATTCAGTAGTGAGTTTGATGTCCCCACAAACCATGGTTTGGGAGAGTGCAGTGACTCCCAAGCAGTGGAGCCCTTTCCCTAGGGATTATAGGCAAGGGGAGATTTATAGAGTTTTAGAGGAGGCAACGCAGACACGGGGCAGGATTGACGAGGAGGTGGGGGACTTCCTGATCAGGCTAGCAGGTCCTGTGTCTGAGGTAAGCTAACTGAAGCTGAGTTGGAGGATTGTACTGGTGTTATGTTTCTCAGCAGTGAGGCATGTCCAGTAAATGCAGGCTGACAGGTTTAGATTTGTAGACCAAGTCACTGGGCCAGTTATGGGTCCATTTGTGGGTCCTGATATATGAATCACCTTTATCACCCTCAAATATAACTTAAGCTCTCCTGTTTCCATGGTTTTGTTCATACTGTTCCCTCCTCCTAGAATTCCTTCTCCTCTGCCTCCATTTCTCTATTTCTCAAAGCCTTACTCAGTCCTCCAAGACTCCATTCAAGTGCCACCACCAAGCCACTGCGTCCAGGAGACCTCCTGTGACTACACCAGCGGCAGTGATCTTGCGATTTTGTGAAATCCCCACTCACTCAGGCGCTTATCATCTGCTACCCTTTCCTTTCATATCACTCTTATTTCCACACCTTGCTGGTACATTCCTTGAAGGTCAAGACTGTTTTATATCTTAGCATCCTGTGAAGCACCTCCACAGTGACCTTCGCATATTAGTAACCTAGTAAAAATTTTCTGGATATATGGAAAACAGATTCATGATTCCAAGGCAGACCATTTCCTAACATTTTATTCCTGCAAGCTTTCCTTTCTTGCCTTTTGCAGACCAGGATAGCCGCCACTGTGGCTGGGACCGCGATGCTGGTGATGAGACCCTGCATATTTAAAATGATGCTGAGAAAAGAGGAGGAATGATGAATGGGCTCAGGAAGACGTGATGGCTTCTGCAATGACACTAATAAATGGAACACAGAATCTCTAATACCAGCTCTGATACTTAGATTGGAAACTAACTACAAAAAGGCAAGCAAGAAAAATGAATGTGTGGGTGGAGGATGGGGGAGGGGAGCATATGCAATCAAAGGAAAGATAAAAAGCTACATGTTGCTAATGAGACAGGAATGTCGGGATTTTACATTAGGATTATTCTGTTTTTCTTTTTCTTGCCTTTTTTTCTTTTTTCAGTTTAATGGGAAACCAGTCTCCAAAGATTTTTACACAGTCTGGAGGTCCATGGGTAAGACACAGAGCTTGACATTGTAGGTGGTCCCCCAGTAGGCCATGCATCTAACTCAGTGACATAGTGAACTGTCAAGAAGGGTGCAGATGGCAGATAGTAGGACTCGTCCTCCATAGTTGGCTGAGCCAATTCCTATAATACATTTCCTCTTAAATAGATCTCTCTATATATACATATCCCATTTGTTCTGTTTCTCTGGAGAAACATAACACAGTGACCCGGGACCAACACCCTGATGTCCCCATTTTACTCACCCCGTAGTGTAATGTCTTCTACCATCTGCTGGTATCACTTCTCACCACCTCACCTCTGAGACCCTGTGGTCCAAGCCAACATCCCCGCCTTTTTTTTTTAACAGCTTTATTGATGTATAATTGACACACTATAAAATCCACCTATTTTAAGTGTACAATTAATTCAATGATTTTTAGTAAATGTATAGAAATGTGTAATCTTCATCACAATCCAGTTTTATCACATCTCCATCACTGCAAAACATTCCTTTGTGCCTATTTGCAGTCAATTTCACTCCCACTTTCAATCCCAAACAACCACTGCTCTGTTTTCTATATCTTTAGATTTGCCTTTCTGGACATTTCATATAAATGTAATCACACAATATGTAGTAAAAGTGTGGGGCTTCTTTTACTTAGCATAATGTTTTTGAGGTCCGTTTATGTTGTAGCATGTATCGGTAGTAATGCTATGTGATTGCTGAATCGTATTCCAATGCATGGACATCCACATTTGTTTTTCCTCTCACTAGTTAGTGGCGTGTGGATTGTTTCCAGTGTGGACTATTATGAATAATTCTGTTATAAACCTTAATATAAGTCTTTCTGTGGACATATGTTTTGTAGCTCTCTGTTTTGTTTTGTTTTTAAGATTTTATTTGGGAATCGGAAGGGGAACAGACAAGCTGCTGTCCTTTTGTTCTTCAGTCTAGTTGTGGAGGACATCACTTCACTGGCCCATGTTGGTATTATCATTGTGCTCTTCCCAGGTGAGGCAGTTGCTCGCTGGCCATTGGACGGCGGCTCACGAAAGCTCACGCCTGTTGCCGGCCAACCCCACTGCAGCCTACACCGTTGCCAGCGACTCACGGCAGCCCAGCTCCAGGTCAAGCTGTTGTTCACCATCTTAGCTGTAGAGGGCGCAGCATCATTGGCCCTCATGTGGGATTCAAACCGGGGTCCTGCTGCTCAGAGCTGGCGTCCCAAGCCAACTCTTAACCAATGCGCCACTCTGCTGGCCCTGTATCTCTCTTATATAGATATCTCCATGTGGAATTGCTGGGTTGTAAATATGTTTAACTTGATAGGAAGCCACCAAACTTTTTCCAGAGTGGCTTTACTATTTCCATTCCCACAGGTTGAGCATTTTGATTTCTCTACATCCTTACCAACTCTTATTATTGTCTGTCTTTTTTATTATAGCCATTCTAGTGGGGGTGTAGTAGTATCTCATTTTGGCTTTAAATTGCCTCTCCCAAGTAACTTAATAATGGTGAGCATCTTTGCATATGCTTATTAGATATTCCTATATTTTTTTTGGTGAAATGTCTATCCAAATCTTTTGGCTATTTTTACATTGGACTATTTGTCATCTTCTTATTGAGTTATATGGCTTATTTATATATTCTAAATACAAGTTCTTTATCAGATATATGATTTATAAACCTTTCTCCCAGGTTGTGCCTCACCCTTTCATTTTTCTAATGGTGTCTTTTAGGAGAGCAAAAGTTTTTATTTTGATAAAGTCCAATTTACCGATTTTTTCTTTTATGGATCATGCTTTTGGTGTCATATATAAGAACTCTTTGCCTTATCCAATGTCACTAAGTTTTTTCTTTGTTTGCTTGTAGAAATTTTATAATTTCTACATTAAGTCTGTGGTCCATTTTGAGTTAATTTTTGTGTATGGTATGAGGTTAGTGTCTATGTTTTTATTTTTAATTTATTTGGCATGTGAATACCAATTGTCTCAGCACTATTAGTTGGAAAGACTATCTTTTTCCCCATTAAATTGCCTTAGTACATTTGTCAAAAATCAATTGACCATAAATGTGAGAGTTTATTTCTGGACTCTCAATTCTGTTCCATTGATCTACGTGATTATCCCATGCCAACACCACATTGTCTCGGTTACTGGAACTTTACAGTAAGTTTGAAATTGGATAACATAAGTTCCTTGTCTTCTTTTTGAAGATTGTTTTAGCTATTCTAGGCTCTTTGCATTTCATATGCATTTTAGAATGAACGTGTCAATTTCTACAAAAAAAATGCCTGATGGCAATTTTTTAGGGATTGTGTTAAACCTATAGATCATTTGTGGGAGAATTGCTCTCTGAATTATATGAGTCTCCAATTCATGAACATAGAGGGTATCTCCTTTTATTTAGCAGTGTTTTGTAGTTTTCAGTGTACTAGTCCTGTCTTGCACTTCTGTTGTTAAATCGATTTCTAAATATTTTATTCTTTTTGATGCTATTGTGAGTGGAATTCATTTCTTAATTTCATTTTTGGATGGTTCTTTGCCAATATGTAGAAATACAATTGATTTGTGTACATTGTTCCAGTATCCTGTGATCTTGCTAAACTTGTTTATTTTAATAGATCTTTTTATGTGTGGATTTCTTAGGATTGTCTACATACAAGATCATGTTGTCTGTGAGTAAAGGCAGTTTTATTTCTTCCATTCCAATTGGTATGCCTTTAATAAATTTTTTCTTGCCATATTCAGCTGACTGGAATTTTTGTACAATGTTGAATAAAGGAATAAGTGAGGTTATCCTTCACCTTATTTCTAATCTTAGTGGGAAAACATTCAATTTATTATCATTAACTATGATGTTAGCTACGCATTGTTTGTAGATTACCTTTATCACGTTAAAGAAGTTTCCTTGTAGTACTAGCTAATAGATATTTTTATCATGAATGGTTATTGAATTTTGTGAAATTCTTTTTCTGTGTCTCCTGAGGTGACTATGTGGTTTTTGTCCTTTATTGTATTAATATGGTGTATTGCATTGATTGATATCTGAATGCTAAACCAAACTTGTATAAATTCCACTTGGCAATGGCATAAAATTCTTTTCATATGTTGCTGAATTCAATTTGTTAAAATTTTAAGGAATTTTGCATCTATTTTCATGAGGGATGTTGGTCTATGGTTTTGATTTCCTGAGATAACTTTGTCTGACTTTTATATCAGGGTAATACTGGACTCACGGAATGCATTTGGAAGTGTTTCTTTATCTTCTGGTTTTAGTGTTTGTAAAGAATTAGAATTATTTCTTTTTTGCACATTTGGTAGAAATCATCAGTGAATCCATTTGGGCCAGACTTTATGGGAAGATTTTAAATTACTAATTAATTTTTTTTACTTGTTATATATAGATCTATTCAGATGTTTTATTGTTTCTTGAATCAGTTTAGGTAATTTGTGTCTTTCTAGAAAGTTGTTACATTTACATAAATTGATTTGATACATGATTAATAATACTCACTTATGATCTTTTAATTTTTTAAGGATGGTAAGGATTGCCCCTCTCTTTTCTGATTTTGGTAATTTGTGTCTTTTTTGTTATTTCTTGGTCAGTCTCATTAAAGATTTATCAGTTTTGTTGATCTTTTAAGGGAACTAACTTTCGATTTCACTGATTTTTCTCTGTTTTCTATTTAAATCTATTATTTTCTTTCTTTGACTTGCTTTGGATTTAATTAGCTCTTCTATTTCTAGTTTCTTATGGCAGGTATTTAAGTTACTGATTTAAGATCTTTCTTCTGTCCTAATGTAGGCATTTATAGCTATATATTTCCCTCTAACCACTGCTTTAGCTGCATCCCATAAATTTTGATATGTTAAATTTTCAATTTTTGTCAGCTCAAGATATTTTTAAATTTCGCTTCCAGTGTTTTTATTTGACAGATTGGTTATTTGGAAGTGTTGTTTTTCTAAATTTCCAAGTATTTGATAGTTCCCCAACTTTCCTTCTGTTGTTGGTTTATAATATAACTGCTATATATATAATTGTAGCTAGAGAACATACTTTGTATGAGTCAAACCTTTTAAATGTATTGAAACTTGTTTTATGGCCTAACATGGAGAATGTCCCATGTGTTATTGAAAAGATGTCCATTCTGCTGTCACTGGGTGGAATGTTTTATAATCATCAGTGAAATCAAGTGTTAAGTCTCCTATATGCTTGCTGATTTTCTGTCTAGTTGTTCTGTCAGTTATTGACACTGGAATATTTAAATCTCCAATGGTCATTTTTGAACACTATCATCTCTTGCTTAGGGTATTGTAATAGCTTAGCACTCCCGGTTCACCTATCTTGCTTTATTATTCTCTGTAGGACTTACCATTATCTGACCCAGTATGTATTCTACTTACAAACTTGCCTGTATGGGTCCCATGATGGCAGGGATTTTTGTCATTTTTTATCACTGCTGTATCCCCAACACCCATAACAGTTTCTGACACACATCAGTCACTCATGAATATTTGTTGGATGAATAAATATATCATCAAAGAAATAGTACCCACTATTCTCTTGGGTGAATGTAAAACTCCTCATCCCCATTGTCTGGAGGAGATCTGAAATGGGTCATTACCAGTGGAGTACTGAGCTAGATTCAAGGCAAGGGGCAGGGGATATACGGAGA